TCTACATTGTTACAGCAGACGGTAGTCATGGTCAATATATGTTGGTTTGAAAAATGAACTGACGCTGATCCTTAGCTCAGTCTATTGGCATAACACATGCATATTGTATGAAAATCCCAACATCGATCTCAATACGTCCCCCAGCTCGCCGTCAATATGTTCTTTGAAGAATGTAGCTGTAACCATAAACCTATTTGAATATGTCCCCTTCATGGAAATGTGCTGACTTGAGCAGCAGGACGCTTGAAAGAAGGTATTGTATTAAATGATATAGGGACACCTTGAGGAGGGAGTGAGCAGGTAATCTGTTCTGCTTTATTACATGTTAAATGGGACACATTTACCCTCTCATATCATTTCTGCTCCTCCTCTCAACCCTTCTCTGTTCTTTCCTAAAGGAAAACTTTACAAAGGAAATGAGGAGAGAGCTTAAGGAGTTTTTTTGTGGAGGGTCGTCTTCTGCTTCTCCAACTGTCTTCTCCAGTCTTCTTTCTCCATAGACTACCCTCTTCTCTTCTTTTCCACGCTTTCTTCTCTGACTCATTTTCTCCAATAGAGTGTGTTTTCTCAATGGAGTGTCCCCCCTCTCTTTGCCATATCTGTCCCCCTCCTCTCTGTCCTTTTCATATCCTCTCTTTTCGTCTCTGTTTCCTTCTCTCTGCTTTGTGATTTATGACGCAGAGCAGAGAAACTGTAATATAGATATCTAAAGCAAACGTACTCCTCCCTTTCATTCCTATCAGAGGATCAAGGCAAGAGGGACCGCGCTATGTGTATGTGTGTGGTGGGGGTTGGGGTGGATAAGGTGGTGTTATAGAGACCTTTACTGTTACTGATGGTATGAGGCGAGACCCCTATATGACTGTTTAGATTTACTGTCTCTGGGGTACAGAGGTGCAAAACACACACACACACAGTGGAAATAATAACCAACTGTATCTAGCTAGATGTCTGTATTTGTTTCAGTGTTTCCACCACATGGGGTTTTATTAAATATCCCATGAACCTCTGGGGATTGTGGGATGGAATAAAGGAGAAATAAATTAAAGGAGGATGGAGATCATGACAAAAGGGAGAGACAAAGGGGTGTGTGGAACTTTTATCGGCGATGGCTGCTTCTATAACCGGTTAACTGACGAGCGTCAGTGTCCGTGTTGAGCAATGTGTGTGTGATGGCTGTATGGGTAAAGAGCAGTGTCACCAAGAGGGCTTATTTCCCTTATTCTGAGACCCAAAACGTTGTTTCAGACTACTACTCTGTAGTTTTACATTCACCTCTAAAACATATTCAAATTAAACAGTCTGAAAAGGAATATCAAGCCTCATTTAACTGCTCACAGCGCGCACATGCACCCTTTGATGAGTGGTTTTAAGTTAGAAATTGCTTCATTAAAAAGGGGTCAAAAGCAAAAGAGTTAACCTGTTAAGCAAAATTCTACATACAGACTAAATAAGGGTGGTAAAAATGCCTCTGGCCTTCACCCCTTGTTTCATTTCCTATAAATCATACATCGCCAAACATAGCCAAAAAAGAAGTTTTGCTTTGGGAATGTGATACAGTCTTGGTGTTTATGAATGCCTTACTGCTCAGGTTACATGGGAACTGGATGATTCATCGTTGTTTTTGACTATATTTATAATTATACCCTATTCCCACAGTGAAGGAATCTACTGTGTATCCACTCTGCAGCGTTTTACTCCTGATACTTGGATCCATCTTGCTCCGAATTCAATACGAATAACCTAATGTTTGTCTTGTTTTTAGTGGTATTTGATATAGCTAGGGATGTAGGAATGGATTCTTGGTGCAAATTGTAATTAAATCCAAGAAACAAAATCTCCCCCTAGCTTGCCTAAAGCTGAGTACAATAACTTGAGTGTATTTCCATAACTAGCCTGGAAGAATTTGATGATTACCTGAGGCCAATAACTGACTTTAAAAACAAAAAGCTTCTCTTTTCAGATATTATTGATAAGTTTTGAAATTACACTACAATAGTGGTTATGATTTATGATATGTGTGTATATTTGTTTATAGCACTACAGCAGTATGCTATAGTAAATGACATGAGGACACCTAATGTAAAACTGAGGACAAGGGGCATTTGTAGTCTTTCCCTACCGGCTCTGTGTGGTTGGTGGCAGGAACTTAATGTTAATCTTAATGATAGATGATAGAGGATGCACTGTGCCGCCACAGAGTGTATGTGACAGTGTTATTGTCTCCATGATTAACTCAACCACTGTCTCAGCCCCTTCCCTAAAGAGAGAACCAGAGAGCAAGCAAAAATAGAAGTACCACTGTCTAGTTCCTCATCAAGAAGAAATGCTCTTCATTTCGACCCCCCTACCAACCTCTTTCTCTCCCTCCCTCCATTCCTCTGTCCTCCTTTCTCTCTCTCTCTCTCTCTCGGAGGCCATTACTGGTGATAAACACTGTGGTTTGTATCAGCAGGATGCACCTGGCATTAACGCAAACGCTTAAGAAAGTAATTAGTGGGTGTATGTGGCTCCCCTCGTCCCTGTAGATGCCCATAGGCGGTGTAATAAATGAGCGCCAGGATCCATAGGAATAGGATGGCAGCGATTTCTGTGAGCACTGCTGTCATCGTTCAATACCCTGACGCAGAGCAATGGCCTTGTCATGCCTCCTAGCAAATGACTGAATTTCTCCCCAGTGGATTCACAAATGCAGAACCTTCTTCGCAAACCAGCAGTATAATGTTCCGGTCTGTGGTAAGACCTAAAGAAGATGGACACAGCTCCCACGCCTGTGTAGTAAATACAGAACTTTTTAGCTTAGCTTAGCATAAAGACTGGAAACGGGGGGTGAAACGGCTAGCCCTGCACTGTCCATTGGTGACAAACGTTGCCTAACAGCACTTCTAAAGCTCACTGATTCAACATGTTCTGTCTTGTTTGTTTAATCCATACGTAAACCAAGGTGTAAAAATGGCAGAGTGGTGGTCTTATGGCTCTCAGTGATAAGACTCAAGGACCACTGTTCCTGCTTCCAGTCTCTGGCTGTGCTAAGCTAACTGTCTCCTAGATGTAGCTTCATATTCATCCTACAGAGATGAGTGACATTGATCTTCTCATCTAATTCTTGGCAAGAAAGCAAATAAACTATTCCATTAAGTGTCCAAACTGACTATTTTCATTTTTTGAAGTGTTTAGTATATTCTTCAGACATTTAGCCTCTTAGCACTGTATTGGATGGTGAATGATAAAGCCTATTGATTAATCACACTACTTTAGAAGGTGCAGAGAGCAGCTCTCACGTTGTCACAAATCGTCACTGACCTGCACTTACAAGGACTATAGATTTTTCCAGCCTCCCTAATAAATATGACCATGTGGCGATGCACATATGTACACATCTCCACTGCACCAGCTTCCTGCTGCATTTCACCCTGGGTAATGACCCATGCGACGAATCCCCTGCTTTGTATCCAACGGGGGGGGTAATTTCTCACTCTGGGGGGCAAATCAAACATCTGATTCTGACTACAGGGGCTCTGCTTCACCCCCAATATTCCTTTGAGATCACCAGAGTTGCTGACGGGCAAAATCTCTTTCGCTTTCACACTTATGCAAGGCATTTAGTGAGCCAGATGGAGTGTCCTGAGCACTGGTGTGAACAAAACGATGACACCACCATTAGCATAATAGCCCTAGCATGTGCATGTGTCATCATTATAGATTTTTATGGGGTGTGTGAGGAGACAGACAAAAGCAGTTAACATTGGGCAAGGCACCAGAGCTGGTGGTACATGCCTCTACTTAGATTGGCTAAAGGATGCAGCTCTAGTATACATCTGACAAAGGAGTCCCATTTTAAATGCACTGAAGTTGTAGTGTAGCATCTACCGTTAGAAGTGCTGGCATCTGGATCATGCCAGCTAAGACGGTAGCAGTAAAACTGTAGCAGACCTCAAGGACGGTCTTGAGCGTGCAAAGTTAGTGATGCATGTCCTATAACCAGACATATTAGCATTCACACACACACAACAACGACCTCCTCTTGGATGCTAAAAGATTGAATTTGCTATTTAGACTAGTCCAAGGTGACAGCTACCCAGTCTTTAATGGTCAACACTCTCAGATAGCCTTCCTGCATCAATGGATGGATTCACTGGTGCCCAATAGAGTGATCAATATTCTCTTTCGTGAGACCTTTTTAAAGGGTTTTTAGTGGTAAGACATAAAAACTGGGGCTAATTTACCAGGAAGGTATACTTAGCTTGCCGGTAATTTTAACCTCATCATCATTATCATCATCACATTATAACAAGTAAGCCTTATTGCATCTAGATTAAACCAATGCCCTTTTCTTGTTCCCTCTGCGTTACACATTGATTTGCCGAGTTGGCTTCTCTTCCATGCACTCCCTTGGCACTGATGAACCTCCCTTTTCAGGAGGTGAAGCCACTGCTGGAAGCTTTATTTAACACCTCTCCGTTTTTAGAAAACCCCTCTGGCCTCTCTATCAATATGTTGTGATGCACACATCGGGAGGGTCATAGCGGTTGATTGTGGAGGCTGGACTGACCTTCGACCTTCCTTCCAGCGGCTACAGTAATGTTGATTCTTGCTTCAAGTGTTTTGGGCTGGAATGACCATAGTAATAGAAAAGGCAGGGGTAGCTCAGTGGGCTCTAACAGTGCAGGGGCTCTCTTGAGATAAAAATGACGATTGATTTTTGCTCATTTTCTAGACCAACAATATGTCTTTATTTCTCTTCTCTTGTTCTCAATTTCTATATCTCAAACTCATTTTCTAAATCCCCCTGCATTGCCCAAGGTTATGCCTTTTCTCTTAATTTTCTGTCCACCTTTTCTCACTCACACATTTATCACTGTCCCCTTTTTTTACACTTTTATCCCTTTCCTCTCACTCTCATCCCTCTCATCGTTCCTCCTGCCCCATCCTCTCTTCTGCTTTTACATCAAATTTTCCCCCATTTTCACGCTATGTCTCTCCCCTTCTCACCCCCGCAGGCGGTATGAGATGTATCCTGTGTGTGCAGACCTGCAGGGCCAGATCCTTGCATGCTACAAAGAGAACGTTGGAAAAACCCTGAACTGCTCCAACATAGCATCCCTTTACCTACAGTGTGTCAACAACGCAAAACAGGTGCGTATTTACCAAACTAAGCTGTATGTCTTTCATCACTTTTCATATCTCATTTAGACATAATTTGCCACACCTGTTACTAGCATATTTTGCATATGAATATTAGGCATACTCTATGTGTATTGCATGCTTGTTAAGTGGAATGAATGAGAATTTTATCGTGTACAGCTGTACTCTTTGAACATGAGTAAAATACTTGAAACTTGAACTTGAATCCTTAAAACCCCTCCAGAATAACATATTTTTTCCCCATTGAAAAGAAAAACAAGTATGCGCATGCACCCTCATGGACAGATGATATGTAAGTTGTAGCTCCTGCTAATCCTGTAGTGTAGCTTTCAGTTGAATTGATGTGTGTATTACAGAGTAGCCCCATGTGTGTTAGCTGCAGCATACGTCATTGGGCTCATAGATATGTATGGTAGCTAAAGTAGAGCTGCTTTTCCCTTTTTAAATGTCTAAATGAATTAATATAATATACACACTCTACACACACATGCACACTAGCATCCATTTACATGCACCGGCTCTTTGCTTTTAGACGAGGGAATATAATTTCCACTGGGCTACTGGCGCCTGAATAAAGCTCCCCCTAAATAGCCAGTTTAAACCTTACGATCTATTTCCATAATACCTGCTGACACCGGCGTTCCCCCGGCTGTCTCTGTGTGTGTTTTAATGTAATAAGACCAAGGGAGTAGCCGCTGCTAGTTGGATACCATTGTCCTCTCTGGGGCTCTCTTCTTTCATTGCCAAGTGCAAATGTTTTTTTGCCCTCTGTCTCCCACAGTCACACACTGTATGGTAATAGTAATGTCACTCAGGTTGATATTAACTTGATTCCCCCTCTCTCACTGTATGTAACATCCATCGGGCCCAACAAGGCGCAATTTAGATTCATGGAGCTTTTCTATTAGATTTTTTTACAATTGCATTGTTTTGCCGGAAATGAGGAAAACTGAGTTTTGCGTCTCTCGTTCACTCTCGTGGGTATTAGTATTAGATCTAAAAGTCAGATGCTGGCAGATTTTTAAGCTATACATCATGTAAATTGCACAATGTTTTATTCATTGTATAGGTGTGTGTGTGTGTGTGTGTATAAGAGAGCTACCTGTAGCCTTGTCAAGATTCAGCAAGGGTACATTCACAGTCCGGATGCTGTTATGATGTTGTAAATTGTTTGGAAGCAAGCCTGAAACGATATGGTAATCCGCTTGTGTTTATCACCCTGCGGCAATCACAGCACACTCCTGTTCGTCTGTGCTTATCTGTCTAAGACTTGCTTTTAAAGTCATTAGGTGCAAAAAAAAAACAGTTCTGCGATAAGGCTTTAAAGGAATAATATGCAGAATTACACAGCCGACAAAATAGGGGGAAGGAATGAAGTAGGATTGATATGAGCTGATTCAGCTTCGTGATTAGGATGTTTACACAGCTTTATCAGAGCCAGGCAGGAAGCCGCATCGAGAACAAATGTCAAGAGGACACGACTTTGACCTCTGGAGGTCAGAAGATCCAAACGTGTCCTCTAAACAGCCGTCTCTCATCTCTTTGCCCTTTCTGTCAAAGGCACTTGATAGCATTGCTCAGACAGCTTTCAGACAGCAAAATCTCTTTCCCCTTCTTCGTCCTTCCCCTTCAAATCTTAAATTCCACTAACAACTGTGGTAGGGATGTCCAAGATGCCATCTCACTGAGGATAAAAACCAAATCCTTCCCAAATCTAAGTTTTACAATATTGACCCCTCAACTGGAACCAAGACAGAGCTGTGGTCAGCAGCCCGGCCTTTGTCACTGATAATTAGCGCCCTTATCGCTACGGTCAGTGATAACATTTAGACCCACTTTCGCTCCCTTTTGTGGCCTCTGTGCCCCTGCCACTATTCCTCCTTCACTCCCTCCATCCACTATCCCTTCATCCCTGGTCACATTTCTAAAGCATTCAGCACTTAACAGGTTCAGATAACAAACTGTGAGGAAGAGGCAGTCGAAGGACAGATAAAGTCTCTTTCTCTCTGCCTCTCCCTCTATGAAAAAGAGTTTATCACAGAGGCCCATCTCTCCATCCACTGCTTGCCTCCTCATTCCATATTCTCGCCGCATGACCGCCTCTTGCTCTCTATCTTTTCCTTCTCCACTTCATTTTTTAGACTGACCCTTCCATCTCACTTTACTCTCAAAGGAGCCAAGCTAGATCCCTGTTTGTAGTTTGAGCGGTTGTTTGCAAAGATTGGAATAAAAAAGGTGCTGGCTCCTATAAAGGCTTATATTGACATTATAATCAGAATTGTAGAAAAAAAGTATATTTTATTGATTTAATTATTTGTCCTTATAATATTTCTAGACGGTAAATGTTGTATTTCTTTGCTTTTGATTTCATAGACATGTTTTGGTCATCGCTCTTATCCATAAGTACATTTAAGTTGATCAATATTGCAATAAGAAACACAAGCAATTACACACCCATAGAGGTCTTAAATAAACTCCCAGGTTAGCCACACTTTAGTTCGTTTATATTCAGTGTTTGACACCAAAATGCATTGTGTGTATCCGGCTAGAATCGATAGTTTTATAATAACAACATGACAATCTGAAAGGGGTCGCTCGTACTGCTTGAACCTACCCAGAATTATTACCCGAATTTGCAGTTCCCCTTGGCTTTACGGAGCTTTACGGTGAGTTTTAGCCCGCAGTCAGCTCATGAACTGCACCTCATACTGCCCTTCAGATGTACCCTGCCACTGAAGGAGAGTTCAGAGATGCAGTCCACTCAGAAGTGGGATTCCTATGAGATCACTAAGCTCAGAAAATAAATCATAACCATGATCTTGATTACAAAATAGAGAGGAGGAGAGGTGGGGGAGAGGCAGAGTTGGAGACGGTGTTGATATGGTTAATGTTCAGGTAAATGCAGTTAAACACACACTTAAATAATAATATTTGCAGCCTGCAGTGATTTTACAGTTCATTGATGGTCAACACAAACCACAACATTCCTTCACTATTGATTGCAGTAATCAGATATTGTATTAGCCATTAATAATAATAACAATCTTCCATGTGGCTCTTGTAAATCCCATCTGTAGTATGATATCGCCTCCTTTTAGGAGGTGGAAATGTTTCCCAGCAAGCATGATTGTTAATCTTGCACAAGTAGTGGAATGCATGAGCAACCTCTGTTAATATGCCTGTTCCTATTATTTGCTTGATCCTCTTTTAAAGGTCCAGTGTGTAACATTTAGGAGGATCTTTTGGCAGAAATAGAATGTAATATTCATCGGTATTTTTTCATTTGTGTATAATTACCTTAAAAAAAGAATTGTTTTCGTTACCTTAGAATAAGCTGTGGAGTGAGTCCTCTTGCACGGAGGCCGCAAGGTTTCTACAGTAGCCCAGAACGAACAAACCAAACACTGGCTCTAGATTTTGTGTTTTGAGTCTTCTGCCACTGTAATATCTCCTACTCACTTGGAAGGCTGAGCTGTATTCAAATGGTTGAAATCTGCAACTTTACCACTAGATGCCACTAAATCTTACACAATGGTCCTTTAAATGCATATGCAATGAAGAGCGAGGCGCACTCCAGCCTGGTACGTCTTCTTGATAAATACAGCACATGTTCGGGGCAGAATGCGTCACGTGCGTGAAGATCTGGCTCTCACTGTTTCTACGTTCAGTTACATTAATTCAGTCACGTCAGGCCCTCGACTCAGTTTTTAGTGCCACAGCAATCTCTCGCCTTGTGTCACCACCACATTATTTGTTGGTAAAAACCAGAAGTTAGGGCACCTGAAATGTCAAGAATAATCCCCCATTACATATGCATGTACCATGGTAAGTACAGTGGGTCAAACTTTAACAAGTAGAATCCCCAACGTTGGTTTCCCTGTCGGTATATGTCGTAGCAATGTTGCTGTGTTCCCAGATCTCAGCAGTAACTTTTGATTCAGTAAATACAAGGTTACTTTAACCACTAAAAATGATGGCCAGAACCAAAAAAAAAAAGCCCAGGTTCTAATAAACTGGAATTATCCCTCTCTGATCTCCTCCTTGTCCTAACCTGTGTTTTACAGTATAGTAGACTGTTTGGATGGCTGTTTTTGTCAATAATAATTTTGTCTGCAGATCAATAACGCACTAAATAAACTCAGAAAAATGTTACCGACATGGATTTACTTCATCCACAACACCATTATTATTAAGTTGGTCAGTGTAGATTTTTCTTTCTTACTTCCTGTCTACCTTATTCCCTTCCTTATGTCCCTCGCTTCGTCTCTCACTCTCACACAGTTTTCATCCACTAGCATCAGCCGCAATAAGCCAGTTCAAATGGTTATTGACAGGGAGTGCTGGGGATTTGTGGTTGCACTTATCGCCAACATGGAATCCACTGCCCTCGGGTCTTTTCTCTACTTCTCCAACTCACTCCATCCTCTTCCCTTTTATTGTACTCTCAGGCCCTCCTCTCTCTGTCTCGTCTCTCTTGTGTGACATAATATGTTACCCCGCTGTTTTTTTGGCTATTTAGATTTCTGTTTTATTTGTCTCTCTGTCTCTCTAATGCACTTTTCTCTCTTTTTTTCTTGTCTGCAGAACAAGTTGAGGACCGGGGGATAAAGACGAGAGAGAAAGAAAGAGGGAGCAATGAAGAGTTTATGGTGTGGGATTACTTATTATCGACCGACTGACAGACAGACCAAACCGGAGCGGAGGAAGCGAGGCACGAGTCAGCACCAAGACACACACCCTGTAAACCCCCGTGGAGAACCGAACCAAACCAGACTAGAGGCACCGAACACAGCACCCTGAGAGAGAAATAGACACGTTTTTCCCCTGGATTCCTGTCCCCTTTCCCCACTTCTCTTACCATTTGTCTATCTCTCCTTTGAGTATGTAGGGAGTGACACTGTCTGCCTTTTTAAAGCGACAGCAGGGGCCGACGGGACCCAGCAGGCCTGAGCTTGGCCCGCTAAAAAGGACAGTAAAAAACGAAACCGGAACGAACACAAGAAAGCAAGCCACCTCTGTCGCAGGCCACTTGGACCCATCCCTTCTCACTCCAGCACTGTTAGGAAATTAGAAGTCTATTTTTACTAATAAAAGTCAGTCCTATTTTGTTGTCCATAAATCATTGAAATCATTGTGTTCCTGCTTCTAATGCACTATCCTGTACACAAAATACACATGTATGCATCTGTTTCTTCTTTGCATCTGTTTCGTGTGAGTTTGTGTTATGTTAATAATGTAACGACATGCATGTTGAGTATTCATCCAGAACAACGCTTGTGACAATGTCTGATCAGAGGAAATAAAAGACAAAACAATGCAGGAACTACTGTTGAACTTTCCTCCATAAAAATTCATAATCTCTGTCTCTGGTGTGTGTATGTTATGTGTGTGTTTTATGCTAATTACAGCAAGCATTGTACAACTTTGATGGATACGCAGCCTTCATGTTGTCAGGACGACATTTTGCCAAACGGAGTGAATGAGCCCAAGAGAGGGGGACTGAAGCGTGGGGGGGAAATATTCGTCCCAGATGTTCTGGTTCATAATCTATCTTTCTCTCTGTTTCTCTATCTCTTTCTTTCTTTATATAGCTCTGTTGTTTGAATCCTCTGTGTGCCTTAGCTATTCAGTGAAAAAGCAGTGAGCTCTACCTCTTCCTTATCCCCTCATTGTCCCTCTTTTCTTTTACTTATCTACTTCTTTCTGTCTTTCTCTCCATCTTTTCTTCCGCTCTGGAGTGTGTTTCTTCCCTGCTCAGTCTCCCAGCCTAATGTTGCCTTGGAGGAGACGGCTTCTCTACGCTGTCTGCACTCTGCCAGACTCTCTGGGTTGGGATAGACAGACACTGTATGTGTATATGTGTGTGTGTGTGTGGGTGTGTGGGTGTGTGTGTGGGTGGGGTAAGTAATGCAGCCATCCATCCACTTTTTATGCAGTATCAGTGTTTGTGTGTGTTTGTGTGAGTGGACGTTGGGGTCTGGTTTTGATGTGGAAGCAGGTGATCGCAGACGAGACGTTATCTTAATTCCGCATCAGAAAAAGAAATTGTGTGTTTGTGGTGGACAGAGCAAGAGAAGAAGTGAGAGAGGCTGTGTGTGTGTGTGTGTGTGCAAGCATGTGATTCGTTGTGACTAATCCCTCTCTGTCTATCAGTCAGCTGTCCTTTTGCTTTTTGACTTTTGGAGTCTCGAAGGGGTGAGGGGTTGACTTCTATTATACAGCGTGTGTGTGTGCCTTGGAGGGGTTTTCTAAAGGTTGGGGATAATGGGTATTGGAGTTCATGGCAGGTGTTTCTCCACAGAGTAGACCATGGCCAATTTTTTTCACCTCTTGTTTTTCCCTCTGACACAAGCTGCACGACTCCTCTATCTGACCCAGTACCTCCGAGCCAAGATAAGTGATTTAACGGTGTATTCTGTCTGTAATGAGATTATTTCCCCTCTAATATAATTAAAGGATGATTAGAAAATCATGATATTCAAACAGGGGGCTTACCTTTTCCTTTTCAAGGCCTCCACCCCAACCTCAAAAACCTTTTTAAAGTTCAACAACAGCGCGTATATGAAGAGTTGCTTGTGCTCTTTCCTTTTTTAAATTCACAAAGAAGGCGCATTTTAAGAGCATTTAATACGATGTTTTTCCCGAGAAAGTATATTAGGGAAGGGCATAATGCAATTCAAAATTAATGTAGTGCTAAATTAGCTGCAATTTATATACACGCCTCCCGAAGCCAATCTTTCATTTGTCAGGTGGTAGAAGTAATGAGATTTTGATGTAAGGTTTTCTGTATAAATAAGTTATTAAATAATAACAGAGTGAGCTGAACGGGAAAAACAATATTTTTCCATCTCAGTGCAAGAGTGTAGCTGAGATGTCCTTGAGCACAGAGCTGCTTGTGAACACTGGAGTGACAACAGGCAGTGTTCACATTTGTGTCAGTGTTCTTGAGGGGTCCCGAAGGCCACTGGCTTCGGGGTCGAGGTGATGGAGGCGGTGGAAAGCGAGGAGAATAAAATCTGAAATGCAGGTATTTCATGTGAAGGTTACTCAAATGTTAGCTTTCATATATTAAATTCTTTTCATAGAATGGACTGGGGTAAATAATAACATCAGGTTATAAAATAAACTGATGAAAAACACAAATCTCATTTCAGGATATCTGTTTTATTAAAACTGTGACCTCTGAGCAGACATTCAGGTGTTTTGCACTTTAGCGCATTAGGAACATTTTCTTTCCAATCAAAATTAGACTAATATACAGACATATATTATATAATATACATACATACAATATAATAACATTTTCATTTAGAAAAAGGAAATGTTTGCTATGTAGTCCCACTTTCTGTAGTACCAAATAAAAAACAAACAAATGTTTCTCTTTCCCCTTTTTGTAATTTTCCATTTCTATCTTGATTTTAAAACTTAAATCTCTAGGAGGTTGCTAATACCTCAGGAAAATCTGTTATGTTATCCAAACATTTTGTGCCAAACTGATTGTTTCTTCAGTCTGTCTGCCACACATAAATGAGGTACCCAGCACTATCATGACTCACATATTTACCAACTAAAAAACACGATTTCCCTCGCCAAACTTCCTTTTCATGATCATCTCTGCTCAAGACAATGAAAATTCCTTTAATTCTTTTAGTTTTGTCGATAAGGGCATGTGCAGGAAAACATAGGAGGATCCACATTGCTGTCACACATGGAGTGTTGCACCCTGTCCCACGAGAAAATTAGTCTAGCCAACGAATCTCATTAACAGGATGCTATCAGTGCCCACAACACCAGCTACAACGAGCCAGAAAAGATTGGTAACGTTTGTGTCTCTAACCTGTGACTTGCTGTCCAACACAAGACCTTGCACAAGGCTTTAATGAGGCATAACAATTTGTGACTTAAATGAATGCACAGAGGAAACACGCATACAGTGTAAATGAGAGAAGGATTGGGTGGTGATCATTGAGCCGCCTTGGATATTTGCAACCAGTATTCACTACAGAAGGGGTTTATTCAAAGCCATCAAAAAAAAAACACTTTAAAGACTATGTCAAAGAAGTGGACGTAATCAACATAACCAGTGCTGTAGTGCCTTAAATCTGCATTCTTTCTAATGGCCAGCAGGGGGCGACTGCACTGGTTGCAAAAAGAAGTCACATTGTGTAGAAGAGAGAAAATGACTCTACATTTCTCTTGATTTATTACCTCAGAAAACATTTTCCTCATGAGTTTATGGTCTCAATCGCTAGTTTCACATCTTCAATACAGTATGATTTTGTAAATTATAGTCCCATTTAGGGTCAAATAGACAATAAAGCAGGGTATGCTTCAGGTTGTGGCTACGTTGTGATTGACAAGACCCTACCACAGCAACCTGTCAATCAGGATAGAGGTGTAACAATGCGTATCCGTAGCACTGTGTGCATTTAAATAGCCGTGGAATTGCTTTTGGGTGATGTCTGTGTTTTCTGCTTTGAACTTTGACCTTTTCACAGTGTGTTTTCAGTTCATGAAAGTTAATTGTAATATTTTGTTCACTTAGAAATGTATTGTTCAACATTCGGTTGTACTAAAAGACACTCTTTTTCTTTTAGTAAGAAACTTACATTTTGTTTCAAGCCTGTTTTTATGCTAGCCACAAATATGAATTAGTTCATTAATGTCACAGGTAATGTGAACTATGGATGCATAGGGTCAGATCCATCCCTCATTCCTCCCCTCTTGTCCAAATATGGTCACTTCTGGCTGCAAAACAAGTTGCCGATGGCCAAAATGCCAAACTTGAGGCTCCAGAACAGTAGTGCACCAATCGTGGCTATATTCATGTCTTTTATACAGTCAGTGCCTTTCTCAACCTTTTTGGATCCCAAAATTGATACACATCAGACGGGCTAGTATTTAATAAGATGTAGTCTTAGGGATCACCATCTGATAAAATTTAGTTATTCCATAAGTGTCTATACTGTAGATTGACAGATTAACAGTGACGAGTGTGAAACCTATGAACAGATCAATCATTGTAATACATCCTCTCATTGGGCTAACGTCTAGTAAATTAAATTAACAGTGAAATTCAAATACAGTATTTCCCATCAGAACCACTGGTCTATGCAACCCATGCATTATTGCCACACTCTGGCATGATTTTAAAGTATCTTTACTACACATCTCATATTGTAGGTACCCTTAATGTACAAGACATTTCACTGTGCACCTCTACATATACTGCAGGTCTATGCTATTTTGGCTGTTATTTATATCAGCTTCTGTCAGTATGGCTTTCACTGTCTCTATAGTGCTCCATACCATCTGTCTCTGTTTAAACAGTGAGACTTTGTCGACACCAGTTCTTGTACTGGACTGTATAAAGAGATTAGAATAAAGCTACAATTTCATTTCAGTGCTTTTATGATATTTCAGCCCTATGTTGCTTCTGTTCTCTAAAGAAGCTGACTTGAAAATGACACCAGAATGCACTCAACTCTGCAATACAAAAGACAACATCCTCCACCATGATGACTAATCACATTTGATTTAATGACCTTCTCTGAAGAAAAAATAGCTTTTCCCTTTAAAGTTTTCCCCACACTCCCTCTCCGACTCTTATCCGTCTGTGCGTCTCTTTGTGCCTTTTAGTGTCTCTCCACACAGTCTATCCTCACTCTTGTGTTTGCATTTACTCTGCTTTTTTGTTCTTTTGTTCTGTCTCACTTTCCTTCTGCTCTTTTTCTTACTTTACCCCCCCCCCCCCCCCACTTTCTTTCTTTCTTTCTCTCACTCTCTACTCACCAAGGATACTGAGGAATAGACCGGCAGCCTGAGGGGCGGATCTGTTGGCGGTGATTGGCTCTCCTTGCTTGCCAATGAGGTGTGAAGCGTCTGCCACGCTGCTGTAACTCTTCTCTGAGGGCCACCCTCGCCTTCTTGCGTGTCCACACAAACACATACACACACAGTATGACACAATATGCTTCAAACAGATACAAGCGCTTGACAAATGCATTCACCCACACAAATTAAAAACACCACAGAAGACACTTCGAAAATGCGGTTATGGTTCTGTCTAGGCAAGGACACCTCATCCTGTTTGGACTTCAGGAAGACTGAACTCATACACATACACATAGAAATATTCTTGGTTGCCAGCGATGCCAGTGGGGCCTGCAGATGAGAGTAGACCGTCATACACTCTATTCTAGTAATGGGCAGGCAGATGGCAGGCTGCTCTGTAGCCTCTGCTTAGGCTGATGGCTCTATTCATCAGGCTGCTCTCCCTCCCTGCAGCCCTGCACCAGGCTACAATTTATAGAGC